CCCCAATAGCAGGAATAATTAAATCTTTTGCTACTCTTCGCACCCCTGGAAAGTCTGTAGAAATGGATATATAAGAGCATTAAACCTGACTGCTGTTTTTATTAAATGTGTTTCTGTAGAAAATACAGGTACTTCTGGCAGACTCTTGTTTTAAATTTAAATCCTATTCCTCTGTGGAATAAACAGAACTTTTTTAGCCAGTTTTATAGACAGTCCTTGTAAACACTGGAATCTCTCTATTACTCTGGGTCACTGAGCTAACAAATTTTAGTTTATAGCTTGAAGTACAGAGGGATCAAAATCATCACCTGAAGCCCCATGAAAAAAAAAGCTGATAAATTGATTGATAATGTAAACCGTTTGATCTGAGACTTAACTGGCTTAAAAATGGCTTTAATTTTTAGGCAGCCCTAATTTAAGTAATTAATTATACTAGGAACTCCTGGTAGGAAAATTCATTTACAGAAGTTTTGAATGTATACTCACATGGAAAACTCTTTGTTGCCCTGTCTTGTCTGTTTTCCCATGTTCATGAAATCAGAAAGGATGTCAGAAGTAAGAGGGATTTGCCATCATACTACCTTTGCATCCTGTCAGTAGAGCTTTGATTTTCCCAGACCTTTCAGCAACTCTTCACATCTTTTCCAGTTCAGACAAACCTATGGCCAAGTCAAAATTGATTTTATTTACCCTGTTAAATTTGGGCTACATTTTTAAAGAAATTATGATTAAGAGATGTGAGCACATACAGCTTGAAACATTGGGTTTGAAAAGATGAGAATAGAACCAGTAACCCTTCTTTTGTGTGCAGCCCCAGACAAAGTGAGAGATGTTACTGCAATGTTGCTAAGTGATAATAGTGTCCGAATTACGTGCAAAAATGGGGAAGTGAATGGAGAAAAAACAATATTTGAATTGATTTGGGAGAGTGATGGAAAAAACACCACCAGAGACAATCATTGTGATTTTAAAAAAGAAAATCTCTTGTACTTGACAAAGTATACATTTAAGGTAAGTAGGGTTATTAAATTAAAATATATGAAATATTTCTGTATATTCATTGTTTAAGCAGATTATACTTGATTCTAGGAAAAAAAGGTCAAATATGGTGGCAGAGGAGTTAATCTATGGGTCTGTAGGCCACAGATGTAAAGTAGAAGATATTATTTTGGAAATAAAATGCCTATGTGCCTAACCTATCAAGCAAACCCTTGTGTACTATTCCACATAGGTTCTGACAGCATGAAAAATACAAGCTGAATAGATTGTTTGTACTTGGGATAGAGAGAAATTTGGGAATTCTCTTAAATTTAAAATAGTTTCTTCAGTATGACTGATAGTTTACTGTTTAAAACACATTCCACTTAATGAATATGTGAGTGTCATTTCATTCAGAGTACAAATGTGGGATTTAAGTCTTCAGGTAATTGCTCAGAATGAAATTGTTAGGATTTTTTTCACTGTGAAGATTTTTGATGCTTCGGGGACTAGTTAGTGTAAAGCAGTTCAGATGCCTTTGCATGTCCATACATCAGCCTTTTACAAGCCAGTCTTTGTTTCCATATAAAATATATCATCCTCTCTTTACAAGCTTCACTTTCCTGAAGGCCTCCTGCTATCTTCTCTTCTGTCAGGCATTTCACCTTTTTTTGGGTTTCTTGCTTGCAAAACCAATGGTCTCGTGTGATTCCCTTATATGACCACTAGGAATGGTGGTCCTGTCTGTAAAGTTTAGCCAAGAAAGTATGAATGATGAGGTTACTTTTAGGAAGCAGTTTTGCTTATTTCTAACAGTCTTTCCCTCTTTTCTCTGTTTTTACCTGAAGAAATCAGAGAACTTGAGTAGTCTTGGTTTTATTCCAAGATTTTATCAGTGATTTCCCAACAAATCCTGCTCAGACAGCTTTATATTTTGGAAAAAAGATGAGGTCCTGTAGGAGCAAAAGATTCTTGCAGTGTCTCAATAGCACAAGTTCCCTGCACTCTTCTAAGGTTTTTGTACAATACTTACTGTGAGCAGGATTCCTTACAGAAGGAATTTGCTTCTGCCTCTGTCTAAACCTTGGCTTCTGTTTTGCACTTATTTTGCCCAATTCTTACTGGGAAAACAAAGAAAGCCTTATGGCCTTGACTGGTAGTGAAAGGACTCTGGGTCAAATTATAGAAGACTAAAGAACAAAACCCCAGTGTGAAATATTTGATGTACAAACTTCAAGTTGCCTTTTAGATCTGATAGGAATTTAAATTAAAGAAATTTAAATATTGAATAAATGTTAAATCTATGACAAAATATAAACACAACAAAGCAAAGTTAGTATTTTAACACCTGGTATAGTACCCAAATGTTAATGATGCAAGAAAGTAGATTATTTATTTAAACTTCTATGAATTACCTCCCATACAGAAATTTGTGTTTAAAATATTGAATTCAGTTTACTATTGGTATATTTACTGTTGAAACAAATGTGTTATTTTATGTTGCATGGCTATTTTTCAGATTTGAGAAACTTGATAAGATATAAAGTTGATTTTTCCTTGAGATGGTCTGACTTTGATTTTGTAAAATGTGCTTCCTATTTTGTTAATTTTTTTTCCTGTCACCTACATATTTTTGGATCTAGATCTTCCTGTACCTTGGCTAGAAAACCGAATGACTTTACAGATATAGACAGCATATACTGCTGTCAATGAGGTTGATTAATTGAAAATAGATGGATGAATTTCAAATATCGATTGTGTTTAATTTTTTTTAAAAAATGTATGCAGAAATTTTTACTTCTCATACCTTAACATCTCTGTTATTCTCACCCACTGCATGCAGATCTTTGTGTATAATGGACAACATAGAGGACCCCCAGTAGAGACTACTATAAAAACCAGATGTAAGTAAATATATACAAGATATATTAGTTATTTTCTGAAAAAAAACCCCAACAAAAGAAAACCAAAAAAACCAAAAATCAATGAGCCGTGGTTCTAGGAGGTATACAGATTTGAAAAAAAAGAAAAGTAATTTAAAAATAGTAAATGTATTCTTTTTCGGTTGCTAGATAATTCGAGAGCCCTCATTATATTCTTGGCATTCTTGATCATTGTGACATCAATTGCTTTGCTGCTGGTTCTGTACAAAATCTATGATCTCCACCAAAAAAAGCTTAGGTAAGCTTCATGTATCTCTCCTTCTCTTACATAGATGGGGATGGGAGGCTTTCTGTTTTTCCACAATATTTCCCAATGGGTAGTGCAAAAATGTTACAAGTTTGATGTTTCATTAATACTGGGAAAAAATATCTTTCTATCTTCTAATCCTTTCGAAAGAAACTCAGTTTTTGGTGTTTGTCTGGCAACACTAATAGAATGAAATAGATTTGACATCTCTCTGCTATACCCTTGTCAAAGGCACAGAAGAACTGATCTGCTAGAACAAAATGTTTTGTCCCTAGTTTTGTGAAAAAAATATACAGAAATATCTGGAAAACATTTCCTTCATAATTTAAATCAAAAATAATGAAAATAATACACCCTTTCTTGGAACACTTTAAAAGGCTTGTTCCCCCCAAACAATATCTCGGGGAGGCTTTGTTTCTTATAGCAATCTCTGGATGGCTCAGCAGTTCTGTAGGACAGTGGATGGTGACAGAAGAATGGCTGTTGCCTTCCCTGGTGCCTGTGCCAGAGCCATGGAAAGCCAACCTGACTGCTGCTGTTGCTGTGGAGGGAGGTGGCGCAGTGTGTGAGGGAACATTTCCTGCTGGTAGATACTGAAAAGTTAGGGCAATTTCTTCTGAAACCTCTCAGTCCTCTGGCAACAACAGAAAATTCAGTGACTTATCTCTTCCAGACCCTATTCCCTCCCTACTCTACCCCTTGGGGGACAGGGACATGCTCTTGCTCAGATGCAAACTTTTATGCTTAGGGAAGCAAAATTAATTTTTGCTTGTGCATCTCCAGAGAGTCTGACTTGTTCTTGGCTACTTAGCATTTAAACTTAATTTCATTATATTTTATGCATGTGTTCGTTTTCTGTCACTAGCAAGAGAAATGAAGATGGTGTGAGCAGTCACTCCAGTGAATAAATCAAAGACATGGTTGCTGTAGGTGACATGGAAAAAATTAGGCAAGCTTTACTGCTTTTCAGTGTGGTCCCCTTGTTTCTCCTCCTCAGTAGTGCTTGGGGTAGGAAGACAAGTATCCCAAACACCTCTGCATAGTCCCAGTTGTAGCACTCTTGTAGTGCAGTCTGCTGGCTAAGAACAGCCTTAGTGTTCACATACAAAACTGATTTTATTTAAGTCATTATCGTATATGTGTCTTACTATTCAAATAGTTAATACTATTGATTGTTATATAATATTATTATTAACTATTAAATAGTTAATACTAAAATAGATACTTTTGTTTCTTACAGCAATTCTTCTGAAGGTGTGAACCTTGTTTCAGGTGAGTATCTTTATATATTTAGCAACTGGAAACAGTCTCAGGTCTTGCTGCCACCTTTGGATTATTTGTGTTCCATGTTATGTTCATAGATTACAGATATCAGCATGATAACCCCCTATTTGGAGGGAAAAAATAGTCATAGATTACAGATATCAGCATGATAACCACCTATTTGGAGGGAAAAAATAGTAAATACATAGCAGAAATATTTATACTTGAATGAAATGGAAGTTTATCAGTGTTTGAAAATGCTTAGATGTTATTTCATTACAAACCCTCTTTTGTTATCCCAGACAATGTTTGTGATTTTGATTAACACTGACAGTAAGTCCAGAACCAAACACAGCTTCAACCAGAATTTCCCTTCCCTGTGCACCTTTTTCAAAGCAAGAAATTAAACATTAGCCAGTTGGTTTTCTTACTGAAAAATTTTGAAGGCTTTCAAATCCCAAAGACTGAAATTGAACATTTTGTGCAACTTTTTGCACAAGATTTCAAAGTCTGTGAAACCAGTCAACACCGGAAAGCTTCAAGAAAACAATAATTTCGAACACTCAAACCCACAGGAATTAAATGTCTAGTTAGAGAGACTGAAACTTGTTCCATTATTATCATTCAAGATGATATTACAGATTATTGCAACTCAGAGAATAGGTTGAAGGAAAATTTGGAAAATTAGGCAATATATGTTGCTGTATTTGTAGGTTGTTTGCACAGTAATCTCTTTTACCACTGACAACAATTGATCAGAATTGAAGTAGAAGACAAGGCTGTGTGACTGTTGTGGGTGCTGGGGCTGTTGCTGTGACCTGAATGTGACAGTTGCCTCTTTGTACAAAGCACTGTTGATGCAGTGTCCCTGAGTGTGGCCTCCTCCAGAGGATCTCCAGTCAGTCAGCAGAGCTGAAAAAGTTCTCTTATTCCTGTGGCCTGTTTGCTCAACAGCTGGCTCAGACAGCACCAGTTTAAAAAAGAAAAAAAATATATATGTCAAGTTAGAATTAAGAGGCTTATCCTTTTGTTAATTTAACTGACAATGCGAGAATCACATTGACTGAAATGTAATGTACATTTTCAATGTCAGTTAAAAATAAATGTTTGACTTATTTACAGTTAAAGATGATGACAGGCAACTTCTGAACATAGAACCAATACCTTCTGAGCAGTTGCTGGACACATACAAGAGGAAGATTGCTGATGAAGGAAGGCTTTTCCTGGATGAATTTCAGGTTTGTCCTTGGCTCAAAATATTTGTACAGATTTGTACAACAATTTGTACACAGATTTGTAGCCAGGTGGTTGGAAGAATTCCATTCAGTAGCATGTTTGAAGTAAATATAGTGGTTATAAATTAATAAATATTTAAAGAAGAAAAAGTCTATATAATTGAGTGAGTTCTCATCTAAGGCCAAATAGGCCTCAGTTAATTTTGCTACCAATCTTTCCTCATTGTAAAAAATGGAACTTTTCTTCTGGAGGTGTTTTCCACCAAAAGTATAAAAGAAATAGTCTAAATATTTCTCATTCTAGCACACCTTCCCACATAGCCATGGGGATATAATTAATATATAATTGTGGAGATATATATTTTTATGTTAAGGGAAAGAATTTTTTTCCCTTTAGATATAAAAAACATATAAGGTAACATCATATGAAGTAGAATGTTATCTTCCAGATTCAGAGGTACCAAATTTTTAGCAGATGCATTTGACTGTAAGTAGAAGCTATTTTAAATATTTGCTTGCTTGCCCAATAAAAGAAACTTTGTATTTTACAGAGTATTCCTAGAGTTTTCAGTAAATTTTCAATAAAGGAGGCCAAAAAGAGCCATAATCAGAACAAAAATCGTTACATTGATATTCTTCCATGTGAGTATTTGTTACAATTTTGGCATGTTTTATAAATATTTGATTTCTCACTGCCTTGAGATAATATAATTATTTTGTTTCAAATGATTTGAACAGATGACCATAACCGCGTTGAGCTCTCAGAGATCCCAGGAGATCCAGGATCAGACTATATCAATGCAAGTTATATTGATGTGAGTGACTTTTACTTAAGTCTTAGGCACTACTGAAAAAATCCTGTGGTCTGTACATTTCATGCATCAAACACCTTTGAGGGTTTCCATCTGAGTTGTTTCCATCTTTGTAATGTGTTCGGTATGATTGAACTGTTGCATATTGAATTTCTTTTTAAAGCTGTAAGTCTTTTAGAGTGTTCATGCTTTATTTCTAAAAGTTGGTAACAATGTACTTTTTATAGGGCTTCAAAGAACCAAGAAAATACATTGCTGCACAAGGTAATTTTTAACCTTAAAAGACTATGCTTTCATTATTCACCCATTTTTGTTAGACTAGTAAAAACCTATTAGCAAATTTAAAGAAAAATGAAAATCTGACATTTTGAAATTTAATATGAAAAAGTTGCCAAGGAGTTTTTGCTTAGGGAATTTCATGAATGTGAACATGATTATGAATTGTACTTCAAAGGCAGATTTCTCATGTTGTATAATTTTACACCAGAAGTTTTCATATTTTATAGCTGTGCACTAAAGATACAAATGAGACTTTTAAAATGTTGTAGTCTAATGGCAGCAGTTGTAATGAAATCAAGTGTGTGGTTGTTATTTGCCTGGTCTCTGGTTAACTTTTCAGGCTGTATGGCCAAGTGTGTCAAGAAGGCAAGTGTATTTTCTTCTAGCTGTACCCTGAAAAAGTCTCTTAAAATATCTCTACTAGGCCCCAAGGATGAAACTACACATGATTTCTGGAGAATGATCTGGGAACAGAAGGCAACGATTATTGTCATGGTGACTCGCTGTGAGGAAGGAAAGAAGGTGAGAACCATCCATCTTCCATCCTTCCATCTAGCTTTCCATCCATCTTTTGTCTGAAAACAGAGTGGATTGCAGAATCGCATTTTCTTCATTGTAGTTTGTTTTCATTCTTTGCTGGCTCTCATTGTGGCAGAAGCTGTGCTGGAAAGGATGCCAAAACAGTGTTGCCTTATGAATTACCAGTCGTGTCAGAAAATGTCACTTTAGTCACAGCCAGAAGTAGCACAGGGTGAGCTTCCAAATTACAGCTAATTAATCCAGAAAAGGGCTCAAGGTAGAAGTCTAGCTCATCAGAGACCTGTCATAAAAGGTGCAGTTTGTATTTTTCTTCTGTCTATTCTCATATTCCATGTTCTCAGTAAGTCCTAGAGAGAATATTTTTCATGTGTAGTCCTTGTCTTTTCTTTAACTGGAAGGCTGGGAGCTTCTGGCTTGCTTTTGTTCCCTATTCCAGACCCAGCAAGAAGAAGGGCAACTACTATTTTATCTGCTTTTAAAGATGGTGGCAGCATGCAGACTTACAGCACACGCAAACTGATATTATAGGCAGGCAGGAGCCACATCCCTCACTGAAGATGGAAAAAGAAGCTGTGGAAGTAGCTGCAAAGGTTTCTACAGCCTTCAGGAGACAGCAGCAGTAGCTGTTCATGTTTTCAAGAAGCATACAGGATTTTTTTCCCCCACTTTATTCTCGAGTTAAATCCCATGGCAATAAACTTCAGGTCAGAGACCTGAATTGTTGGATATTTGGGATTATTTACCTAAGCAGTGACAGCCTTTTCAGGAGAGGACAAGACCTGTGAGAAATTGAAAAAACTATACTAAGTTGCCACCTGCTTTAAACTAGACCTTTTTTTTCTAGCTCTCAGCTCTCTGCCACTTTGCTGTCATCCTGCTCACCTAACTTCATGTCTTCATAGAACAAATGTGCCCAGTACTGGCCATCAATGGAGAACGGATCTGCAACATATGGGGACATCACTGTGAAGATCAATGAAAGTAAAACATGTCCAGACTATGTCATTCAGAAACTACACATCACAAAGGTAAGTTGATTCAAAAATGTAAGGCTGACTGGAACTGGAGTGTCTGTTTGGAGCCTGTGCTTTTAAGAGAGAAGAGTCAGCTACCCGTGGAAGATGCTCTGCAGTGTTTTTCTAAGCCACATATAGTTTGAGAGAAAACTTCTTAGACATAGGTGTCATTCCTTGCAAGACATATGAGTTAGACATATATTTCCCAACTACAAAATGTGTTTTCTGTAATACTATGGGATTTACATTTAAGATTAAACTATTAATATGCTACTAAGTATTAGAACCATAATATATACACTGGTTTCCTTATGTATTTAGTTTGTTAGCACAGAAATTTTGCTGGTTTGTGTCTATCTCAGCAAGCAAAATCAATATGACTCATAGAGCAGCATTATCTACCCTTGTGATATTTGTACTGTGGAACAGTTACAAATTCTGGTAATCTCAAGTGCATTTATAAGCATAAGTGTTTTAAAATTACCATTTAGCTATGTATAGAATCATTAAGACTGGTTAATTGCTCCCTTTAATACATCTGAATTCATGTTAGTTGCTCTATGTGTAATTGCAAACAAAATTTCCCATCTAAGACTAAATGCTTATCTCAGGTCCTTTGCAAAAGTATTTCAGTGAGGATAAATGGAGTGTAAGTCATAGCTAAAAGCATTAAGGCTCAAAGAGTAAATCTGCTGATAGGTCTTCAGTAAAGGCAACAGACTCCACCCATCTTGATCCATGATTACAGCTGGAAATTCCAATTCTGCTGTCTCATGTTGCATTAAAATTCACTCAGGAAGCAGTTTGATTAAAAGAGAGTTGTAACTTAGTGTGAAGTCAGTGAACATATCTGCCTGAAGTCAGTGAGAATATCAGAATGTTAAGAATTAACTATTAACAAAGACATTGCTCTGTCACTTGAACAATCTGACATTAGAAATGAGAGATTGCAGCAGGTTGAGCACTGATATTTATGAGCTGTCTGCTCTCTGTTCCACTGACATATTATTATAGATAAAACAAATGTTCGTTGTAGAATTTAAGAGTGATCGCTGGCAAGAAAGTGGAGACTTCTGCTGTTCTGGTAGAATAGTGATGTATAATTACAATGGCAAATAACTGTATGAATAACTGTGCCACAGCTGGATAATTCAACTTTGAGCAAGAATTTGGGGCTTAATTAGTGAGGAAATGGCTCTATAGCCATACTAGTTCTTGGCCAGAAAAAGAACATCATTGAGATGTTTATCTCATTTTGTATTATAATTATATCAAAATGTATGTATTCTCTTTTAATTTGCAGCAACATATCAAAACAGAACTCAAGACTTCACACCTTTAAGATTTAACCTAGTGACTTAGACTTGTGTATATATCTATATATATTAAAACCCTCATGTTTTGGATTTTCTAGGGAAAAGAAAGGACAGCTGGAAGAGATGTCACTCACATTCAGTTCACAGGTTGGCCAGACCATGGAGTCCCTGAAGATCCACATCTTCTCCTCAAACTCCGACGCAGAGTTAATGCTCTCAGCAATTTTTTTAGTGGCCCAATAGTGGTTCATTGCAGGTTAATAAATAATTTTATTTTTTAATAAAATTGTAATGTTAAATGAGCATGAAATGAAGATATTAAAAAAATGCAGCTGGCAAAAGTGTTTGGCTGATCCAAAATTTTATGACTTGAACACTTGAAAATGAGACAGCTGAAGATGCACAGGAAGGCCTGTTGTCTGAAGGATACACAGGATATAGAGGTTGATAAAGCCTGAGGAGTTTTGGAAAACAGCCAGATAAATGTTAGGCTGGTCTGGCTATAAGCATCACATTTGGCAATGTTGGCCTTGCTTTCATTAAAAGACACTAAAAATACATTATTTGTGTTGTCAATGAATTTACAACAAGAACGGTTTTCAGTTGGTTTGAATGCTGTTGTTACACATTTTCACTTTTGCTCTCTCAAGGACTGCTCCCCTCTCAGGGTGGGACTGGGAGGTGCCATTCCCTCTCCATAACCAAATGCCTTTATGCTTTGCAGTGCTGGTGTTGGGCGCACTGGGACATACATAGGAATTGATGCCATGTTGGAGGGGCTGGATGCAGAAGGCAGAGTGGATGTTTATGGCTATGTTGTGAAGCTGCGGCGGCAGCGATGTCTCATGGTCCAAGTAGAGGTATCTCACTAAAGCTCCTGTCACTGAGAACTATCCTGTGCTAGGTCTTCATCAGTATTTCTCAGAAGTCACTGTTCAGTCTTGGATACTGCTGCAGTTCAGTTGAAGTTGTTTGTAGAAAATACAGCTCTGAAAAATACAGAGTGGAAAACTTCCAACACAATTGTTCAGTTTTAGAAACTTCACCTTTGTAACTTTAGATTTTAGAAAAGGAATCCAAGGAGAACAATTTAGATTTGATAATTCAGTTTTAGCATACAGTTCAAAAATTCAAAATTGAACTTGCAGAGTCAAACTTGATTTTCAAATTCTAGGTGTGATGTTCAGTTGAGATGAGACTACAACAAAAGTTATGGATGGATGGACAGATACAATGCATGTATTTAACTTATTTAAGTGTTTTGCAGTTTTAATGCTTGTATTTAATGCCAATGCTTAATATTATTAGTACTAATAATAGTATTATGGGAGTAACACTTCCTTATAATGTTTTTAAGAAGTGATATTATTAATTCATTTATTTTTACTCTTTAATAACTTCATGTTTAAACTCTTCAAATGGGAAACACCAGTCACAGTACATCCTTATCCATCAAGCGTTAGTGGAATACAATCAGTATGGAGAAACAGAGGTCAGCCTGTCAGAGCTGCATTCCTACCTTAACAATCTGAAAAGAAAAGATCCTCCGAGTGATCCTTCTCTGCTGGAGGTGGAATTTCAGGTAAAGAAGCACTGCATTCTAGTGCCCTTACTTCCCACTTACATTAGAAAGTGTCTTGCACAGTAGTCATGAGATAGAGACACCATGTGTAATAGATCACTTCTATGCTGGTTTATTTCTCTGTCACAGAAACAGTTTCTTTGCCTTCATGAAAAAAATACAAAAGCTGTAAATTAATGAAATTTTATTTCTGCTTTTGATCTCAAAATTTTTAACAAAGATGGAGTTCTCAGAACAATTACTTGTGTCTGCATACATGATTTCCTCTGCCATAGTACGTGGTACAGCAGGCATTTTTACACTGGAGTTCAGATATGACCAAAGTTAAAAGAATTAATGTAAGGAATGAGGCACTATGAGATGAAGACTGGGTGTAAATGTCCTGAGGAGACAAAGATCTCAGGAACCATTTTAATCAATCATGATACAAATCATCCTCTTTCTTTAGCGATTACCTTCCTATAAGGGGTGGCGGACACAGAACACTGGGAATCGTGAGGAAAATAAAAGCAAGAATAGGAATGCCAACATAATTCCATGTAAGTATTTTCCATGAAGTTTCCCTTATCTGTTATCTCCTACAAGAAAAATTTTGAAAAAAATGTGTAAGTTACCCTACAGAGTGGTATTTAATTCATTTTCTCAACACTAAAATTAGAAACTTCTCATAGTGTTTTAAAAAAGAAGTGATGACTTTTGAACAATGTGAGGTATTGGGAGTGTTGAAGTTTATTTCAACCGAGGTAGTTTCTGTTCTGCAGTTTGTTGTGAAAGGATTGGCTTTTCTCTATTCCCCCTGTTTCCACTGATGCCATACCTGAGGGGCTGTGTGGTGTGACAGTGACACTTTGTCTCATGCAGATGACTTTAACCGAGTGCCGATCAGGCATGAAGATGAATGCAATACGGACGGTGAACATGATTCAGATGAATCTTCAGATGATGACAGCGACTGTGAGGAATCAAGCAAATACATCAATGCTTCCTTCATAACTGTATGTAATTAGAGGATCCATTCTAAGTATTTCACAAGCTTTCAGCTAAAAGTATGTTCTAGCTAGAGCTCTTATTCTCTTGTTGGCTTCATAATAGAATAGGATTTACTTGAATAAGGGGGAAAGAACTCATAGTCGATTGGCAAATCCAAGTATATTTAAAACCACTAGCTTTCAGGCTGACCTCATGATAACATGTGTTTGTATCAGTGGGCATCTGCATACGAGTTAGGCCATATTAATATTTTCTCTGTTAGTGAAATATGAGTATAATTATTCACATATTCAATACCCTACTAGTGAAAATGGGAACTGTCATTTTTTGGTATCATTATGCATCCTAAGAAGGAGAGCAGTTATTGGTCACTAATGAAGTAACTGATTTTAATGGAATTACTACCTAAGTTCCATTTATCTGAATCCTTTCAAATGCTGCAGTTAGGATACCTATTCAGGGTAAATGTGTCTTTACTTTAAGGTAGCTCAGTGTGAGCTGACTGGTGCAACAACTTTGTTTGGTATAAACACAATTTTTTAGTGATAAAATTAAACAGCTGTGTAGAATTGAATGTTTTAGCCCTTAAAAAAATATACGTTGCAGAAAATGGCAGGTCACCCACTGGAGCATCAGTATATCTTATTGTCAATCTGTAAGTAATGTTCTTGTCAGGAGGATTGAGTTTCATGCCCTACGGATCATAGAATTCCTGTAAGACCATTGGTTGCTGTGATTGTCTTCTTTTCCCTGTAAACAAAATAGTTTGTTAATTTATTCCACTGGGTATTTCTTAAATGACAATAAGTTATATTGCTTAACAATCACATTTCAAATGAATTCAAGAAAAAAGAACAAGACATTTCTTTTCTAGGGTTACTGGGGTCCAAAAGCCATGATTGCAACACAAGGACCACTGCAGGAAACTATCTCTGACTTCTGGCAAATGGTGTTCCAAAGAAAAGTCAAAGTCATTGTTATGCTGACAGAGCTGAAAGAAGGAGATCAGGTGGGGCATCATCTGCACACTGACATGTGAAGTGTCCTCTGTAAGGACAACACTGCACTGCACTTTCTCATTTCCTCACTCCAGTTGTGTGTTTCATAGGATGAGGAATTTGCATTTCTAATCTAATTTGTTCTATCATTTACCTACTTAATTGACTTTCTATTGAATTTTTGAGGGATGAGTGTATGATGCTATATTTTAAAATACAATGAAATTCCTACTACTTTAAAGTCAGTACATTCTGTATGTGCAAGTGGAAGGCAAAATAAAGGAGATTTAAATGGTAATCACTGACTTGTACTTTTATGCATTGTAGGAACTCTGTGCACAGTATTGGGGAGAAGGAAAACAAACATATGGTGGCGTAGAAGTTCAAATGACAGATGTCAACTGTGGTACCAGCTATACCATACGTGCCTTTGATGTTACACATCTCAAGGTAAAAGTTTCTTTGCAAATTCCAAAAGGAAGTTTAAAAGGAATTTTTAAATTTAAAAACAAATTTATAAACTTAGTGTAAAGAAAAAGAAGGGACAGTTCCCACTGCAGTTGCCTCCTGCTCTAAGAAATGGAAATATTTTTCTCTGCCAGACCAGCAGTCAATCATGATAAATTAGCTCAAGTTTCATATTTAGTGAGTTGCTGAGATGGATTCTCAGGAAATGAGCTGTGTTTTGAAGTCTGAGCAAAGCTTGGATGTCTACCTACCTCATATTCATGAAGTAGAACTCACATCATCCTGCAGTTCCTCAGCAATATAATTCTTCCTTTGTAGAACAGCTGCCATAGAGGTACTAAGTGAATCTTTATTTTAACCTGAACATCTCTACTGCTGTTTTTCAGACAAAAGAAACACAGAAAGTGTATCAGTATCAGTATCATAAGTGGAGTAGCTATGATGTTCCAGAAAACCCCAAAGATTTAGTCAGCATGATTCTCAACCTTAAACAAAAACTTCCAAGCAGAACAATCACTGAGGACAACAGGAGAAACCGCAGTGTCCCACTTGTCATCCACTGCCGGTGAGTCTGAATTCAGCACATAGGTTCACCTAGCTGTAAATTCTGGATATACATAGCAACCGTAATTTTGGGATGCTTACCTATTCCCACAAGCCTTTCCATATGCCTGGAGCTCAGCTCTCCTGAGGAGATTACATACACTAATGAAGATCAGTAGAGTTTATAAGTTCAGCTCTCTTTCTCCAGTATATAAGTCCACTTCTTTTTGGACCATTTCCAGGACTAGCATTGCATATCATCTAAACCAGAGGATAATCCTGCTAGCAATAGTTGAGACTGTAAATCTGATATTTTGTATTTCTCTCTTCCCCTTATGTGGCACTTGAGACCCAGATAGCCTCTAGGTAAACTATGTCTTGTGTGAGTCCTACAGATGTACTTAATTGTGACAATTTCAGTTCATTAAAAAATGTTTAGAAAATGTAATTCATTATGAAGATTTTGAAATATACCTAACATCGAGTTAGAAGACTTGCTGAATTTACATTGTAAATTTACATGTATGTTTTACATCATCTTCTAGTGATGGATCACAGCAGACTGGTGTATTTTGTGCTTTAATGAGCCTCTTGGAAAGTGCAGAAATAGAAGAAGTAATAGATGTTTTCCAAGTAGTAAAAGCTCTTCGTCGCACCAGGCTGGGAGTGGTCTCCAACTTTGTAAGTAAATCTTATGAATTGCCAGAACAAATTATGAGATTACTTATCATGGTCATTATCCTCATAACCTTATGCATAATACCTGTATAATAACTGTGTCTCCATGGCACAAACTGTGCATTTACTGACAAACCAGACCTAAATGCCATTGATATGGGGCAGTTTTCTAGATGACTTTCCTAGACTCCTTACAATACGTATTGTTTACAGCTTAGGAACTCTAAAAAACGTATTTTTGGTACTTTATGAACCAAGAGGATACTGAATGACAAGTCTGATGCAAGCAGTTACAGAAAGGTTATGTACACGTCAAATCAAAATAAAACATAGGAGCAACACTCTGTATGCCAAAAACTGTGGAAGCTGCTTCATATGCAGTTTTGCATGTTCAACTACACATTACATTTCTAAAATTTAAAAAATGCTCTGAGCATTCCATTCACACTAACTTCTCTTTATCTTTAAGGAACATTACCAGTTTCTGTATGAAACCATTGCCAGTACCTACCCTGCACAGAATGGACAAATAAAGAAGAACAGCCAACAGGAAGATCAAGTTGAATTTTGTAGTGAAGTAGGAAAACGAGATCAGGAAACTGATTTGATCACTATTGACCTTACCCCACCAACGCCAGAGGAAAATGAGCCTCCTGAAATACGTGATGATTCTAAGGCTGCAGGTAGCACTAAGGGAACAGAAAGCTCTACAAATGGCCCCACAACTCCAGTTCTAACTTAGAGGCTATACTAAAAAAAATTTTAAAAGTGCTTTTTCACACGCCAAAAATCTTAAGCAGAATAAGAAGCGTAAGATTTCTTCCTCTTCCCACATTTTTTTTTGAAAATGTTTAGTTGCATCAGGTTTTCAAATGTACAAATTTAAAGGAATACTTGAAACTTGAAAAGAGCAACAAAGAACTGTGAAAGTACAATTTCTATGTTTATTTGCATGTAATACTTCTTCAGAAACCTAGCCACTATTTTTATACTTTTCCTTTTAAAAATATATCCAGTGTAATACTATGCTGAGCAGTGGGAGGGAAATTTTTTACTTCTGTAGCGAGGAGAAAAACAACTCAGAACAACAAGGTTAGTGTGTTGCAAACCAGGTCTGTCCTCAAAACTATTAGCAAGTAAGTTCACCAACTTGATAAGCATATATTATAGTATTTCAGGAGTGCTGATCAAGCTCTGCATTAATAATACTCTGTGGGACTTGTGGGACCTTGGAAAAGTTTTAAAAGCTTATAATTTCCATCATATGATAATTCCAAGGAATTCAGGCTGAAGAAGAATCTGTAAATCCTCTGGTATCAATGTGAAATAGAAATTTTTGCATTTTTCTGATTTGCCTCAAGGTGTCCTTGTTGCTCCACATATATTAATCTGATATTCCGATGTCAGACTCAAATAAGAGTTTGGAGATCGACATTTGCATCATTGCAACTGTTCTGATAGAAAACAAATTCTGTTTACTCTTAAAGCTCAAAATACTGCGTGCTTGCACATCTATTTGTAATGCTTACTTTTATTTAAAGGGACTGCATCCATGAATGCATCCAACCTGTTTTCAGAATTGGAAAATACTTAGATGCTTTTCTTCAAATCCTTGTAGATTTTTATTAGTACTGGATTTTATTTTTGTTCATTCTGAGGTTTTGTATGTTACAGTTGTGTTATTTTTACTATTTCTTGCTGGATTTTAGCCTACTGTTTTCAGAACAAATAAAAAAGGTAATTAGTAGTTGACAAGATGGAAATTATTTTGTTCTCTAGGAATCTGCAAACGGATCATTGCCTTTGAAATGCACAAAATCTTGTGCTGTCCCATACATGGGTAAAATTTACAAATTTCAGTAGGAAAACACACCATCAAATTCTTATAAAACTGTGTGTCTGCCCAGGTAAGTGTCATGACTCTCTCAGAACAGAGGAAGGAATCTTCATTTTCCTTTTGCTTGAAGCCATTAAAGGAACAGTCATGCAACAGATTCAGTGCTCCTAGTTTATCACTGCTTATTCCTAATTTCTCATTACAAAACATAATTGAATACTTAGAGAGCCATCTAAACAACATGTACAGTCACACTTGATTGAAACACTAATTTAATTGTGCTGTGACTCTAGATCAAATATTTCATTCACAATTATCAGCTCAGACAAGTGCTTCCTGGCAGTCTTGCTTGAATAAGTGGCAGCAAGCAACCACAGGGGCAGTGGGATTCCCACTGGCTGTCAGCTGTTCTGCCTTTTCAGCTGCAGTTGAGTTAGGTGATAAACTAACAAAGCTGAGGGTATCATCCATGGAGGAAAAGCTCTAGGGACTAAATGGGAAGATAATCTGAAAAAAATTGTAGGCCCAGAATCTGATGGCTAGATTTAGAGGAACACGTCAAAATTGCAAATTTACACACCTTGAAGATCAAAAGAATAAGGAGCCTTGGATGCAGATTGACTCACTGGTGTTCATTGCATGACAGAGAAAAATTAATTTATTTTCTTTCTTTTAAGACTTGGCTACTGTAAAACCTCTTGAGGTAGCAAAATAAAGAGGTGAGTGCCATGACCTACTGTAAGGATGTGGAGACAGAGACTAATCACACTTTTAATAATAACAAAAAATCTGTCCAGATTAAAAAATTACAGCAAAATTTTCATTTTGTGTTAAATTTGAGGATACTCCTACACTTAAATTTCTTGAAAAATGATTCTTGTGGGTTTTAAGCTACTGCAGCACCTGATCTGTAAACATTTTTTGGGATTTTGTTATGCTTAGGTTATTTTCTAGAATGATTCCAGTGTTTTTGATGGCATTTTAAAAATGAATTCCAGGTTAACACTTGATTTGTGCATGTATTTTGCAAGAAAAGTCCTGAACTATGTTAAATTTTGCTTCATGCATGTCTTTATCATAAGCCTAATCACAGAAACAAAGCTTTACACTGAAATTGCCCTCATGTGCCTAGTGTTGAACCACTTTTGCAGTAAAGTTCCTTACAGTCAGAAGGAGATGAACTGAGCTCTTGAGTTTTAATTAATTTCAAATTAAACAACACTTTGTACAATTAAATCTCATTAAATCCCAGCGTGATGATGGAGGGAGCCTGTTTTAACACAGCTTAGAGGTTCTGATTGCTCCTAGGATCTCTCTATGTGTGTGCCAGGGATGGTTTTTACCTTCTCTATTGTCCTTTGGGCTCCAAAAATCCACGAGGTGGTGACACAGAGCTTGTCGAAGGTGGTTCTTGTGCTGGATGCTCCATAGTCACTTGGTTATTCACTCGTAGGCTTAATTTCAGGTTCCCAGAAACATGGTGAAGCATTTTACAGGTGAGACATGCAGGCCAAACTAATAAGCTTGGCTAGAAACTGCTCTGGCTCTGTCAGGGCAAGAATAATATTGTAGAACGCTGGACACTTGGCATAGCCTAAAAGCTGAGAAACAAACACTCAAAGTAAGATGAAAAATGTTTATTTCCTCAAGTAGAGCTAAGCCACACAAAGACTGCTAACCATGGCCCCAAGTTGAGTGAGCTGCTGTTTGACAGTGGTTTATAACCTGAAGTCCAGGATAAAAATAACTAAGCAACAGATGAGCTGGGAGAGTATTCTGAGTAAGAAATGAAGCTAATCGAGTGTTTATATGACAAAAAGGACTGGCTTTCTCCCATAATTTGCTGGGTGGAAGCTGACAGAAAAGGGGGTATGGAAAAGTGGCAGTGCTCTGTTCGCAGAGTCTGGTCTGAGAAGGTGGGAGAAGAAGGGTCCAGAGTCTACACAAGATTCTACTTGATCATGTAACTGCAGTGGGGCATGGACTGTGTGTGTTTGCTTTTGTTTAGTTTATTTTTATTATTTCTTGTGCTTTGTAATGTCTGTTCGCAGAGTCTGGTCTGAGAAGATGGGAGAAGAAGGATTCAGAGTCTACACAAGATTCTACTTGATCATGTAACTGCAGTGGGGCATGGACTGTGTGTGTTTGCTTTTGTTTAGTTTATTTTTATTATTTCTTGTGCTTTGTAATGAACAAGGTAGTTATATTAAAATCGTTTTCAGAGACTGTACATTACAATGCAACACAAAACAGGGCTAGCACACAGAGCCCTGGTGGACAGGGATTCCATTCCTGGAGGTGGTTAAACCCCTGCTGCTTTCTCATACCCCACCTTCCACTGCTGCATCTGGGCTCCTGTGGGGTTTGTTTGTATGCTCCTTTTCCTGCCCATATGTGCAGCCAGTGTCCATGAACTTATCCTCTCCTCTTACAAGGTGGCTGGTGCTGCCATAGCCCCCAGCTGCAGCAGAACTGAGTTCACTCCCACCAGGGAAGGGTGAACGTCTTCCCCTTGCTCTGAACTGATGGGCTAGGGAGCAGCTGGTGGCCACATGCAGGAGCCCAAGGAGCTGGACCAGACCTGAAGGGTCCCCACCTGCCCCTGCCCCTGCCTCACCTCTCACTGTTACTGGGAGAACATCACCTGTGGGGGTCAGGTTTGCTGGAGGAGTGAACCAGGCAGTGAGTTTGGAGCTTTGCTGCAAACCAGGAAACCTGGGTTAAATCTGTACAAGAGGCACAAGCATGGCCAGATAGTGAGTCTGTGCCACATGCAGTGCTTAAGCTAGGAGCTACAAAGGGAAGTAAGAAACTAACATCATGAGCTGTTTGTGTGCGATGTCAAAGAAAGTAGAAAGAGTAGTGGCCCAAGAAAGGTGTTTCATTAAGCTGGAATTGTATCCTTCATTTAACATTCCTCAGAAAAACTCTTCAGTAGCAATGCTTATCTCTTTGACAAGGCATCTTGCTTTTGTAAAGGCCAAGGTTGTTTTTTTTTTGATGTTGTACATTTTCCAGATTGCCTCTAAAAAAAATATCAGAAATTCCCTGAGGGCTCTACACAGCTGTACCACAGCTATTTTTCCATACATAAAGCAACTGTTTGCCAAGAGCCAACATGATGTTTTAGACTAGGGAAAACCAAAACAGAAGACAAGAAAGTTTCAGTTACAGAGTAGAGCACATTTCTATATACATCAGCTCTAGTTCAGAAAAACCTTAAGTCTTCTGAGGAATAGAATACAATTATTTGAAAGGTAGAGCGACAGAGAAGAGTTTTACACAAAAACTTTCTAAGTCAATCTGTCTTTTCAATGCAAATGAAAGGAAGATGACTACAAAAGTACTAAGGAAGTTTATGCTACAAGATCTTCTTTCTAGGGATAAAAGATTAATTGTTTGAGAAGGATACTTTGTACAAGATATTAAATATTAGTCTCATTTTTTAACCTTAAACAGTTATGTCCTCAGACTCAGTACTGCCAGCCTCAGCAATGCATGCTGCTGCTTTTTTTAAAAATTAGCATAATACAACTTTTCAGAAGAATAGGCATATAAATATTTACAACTGGGCTGTCTCTTGATTCCCATATCTGCACAACACCATGGCTGGCAATGCTAATGTAATCGTAAGTATGACGGTCTGACATGCAGAGGGAAAAATAAAAGGAAGTTTACTTTGGATCAATTTTAGCACTCAGTATCAAGTATTTTGCTTTGGAGATGAACTCTCATGATAGCCTGACCTTGTCTGGCTGTTAGCTGAGAGCCAGAGCTTGCACACATCAATACTCCACAGTCCTTGGGGCAGACCTGGTGCATTTTCAGAGCTTCCCGGCAGGCCGTGCTCAAACTCTTCAAATGCCTTTTGTTCTGTTCCAAGCTTCCTGCAGTGCATCCAGCTTGCTCCATTTCAGCAGTGTGGAGCCATTTGAGGTAATGAAGATGGCATTTGTTTATGCAGCACTGCACAAGACCAAGTGCTCGCTCTGAGTCAGAGTGTGTACGTGCATGCGTGTGTGTGCATGAACGCACGTGTATCATTCATAGCCTTAAGTGTGAGATTACATTCCCAAGCAGAAATCAAT